CATGGCTACGTAGGTCTTCTCACCCAAAGGTTTCTTTCCTCTGGGAGTAATTCTTGCTGAGAGTGCCTTTATGTCTCTGGGTCAAGTCATTTGTCATCTTCGTGTGTGTTGTCTGTCTGCACGTGGGTCTGGGGTGGAGTTACTCTGCTTGGGGACATAGCAGTGGTAGGTCACGGGAGGAATAGCGGTAAGAGACCATGGTTACTGTTAGTATGCCTGGGCTGCTCAGTTACAGACTGTGCAGTCTATCTCAGCAAGCAGCCATCACTAGCTGGTGGGGTGCAGAGGGGAAGATGGGAGCTATCTGGGAGATGCATCTAGCTAGAGTGGTAGTTGAGTAGGCTGAATCTCAAAGGTGTTAAGGCTTTTATGTGTAGGGCTTAATGTTTGTATCAATTGGTCTTAATACTGACCCGAAGTGTTCAAATCCACTCTAGCTTTTAAAGGATGGGTTGTATTTCAAGCTGCCCTGTTTACATAGTAGCCTCCTTCAGCTCAACTATCCTTTCTTCTGACTGAATTCCTCTACTTACTTCTGTGTTGTTTTCATTAATATTGAAATATGATTTGGGGTTTTTGTTTTTCAGATGTGTCATGGTAAGTGTCTCGTGATGCCCGATTGCTCCCCACAGGCCAGGTTTGGCTGCTGCCCGTTAAGCCCCTGCCAGCAGGGCCAGGCCTGTGTCTGGCAGCTCCTGGCTCTGTCTTCTGCAGGTGCCTCGCAGCGGTGGCGAGGAGAGGCTGTGGCCAGCAGGGACCGGGTACATTTGTGGCCCTGGGGAGCTGTCACAGCAGTGGAATGGAGGGGGAACCTCATGGAGCAGAACCTGAACAAGAGGCACGGCACCATCCTCTGGCACGCTGCCCCTGGGACAGGGCTGGGGGGCTGCAAGTGTTTGGGGGACTAACCCCCTTTATTTTTCTAGCAGAGCTCCCCTTTTGGGAGTGTGTGTACATATGTAAATGGAATTGCTAAATTAACAAGCTGCTAGTTACAGCCATTTCCCACTCTTGGGCCTTTTTTTTTGGTGAATAAAAAGTGGGAGGTTGAGGCAGAGGGGCAGGTGAGTGGGGGATGGGGAGGGTCATGGGGATCCCCTGAAAAACGGGGTCCCAGCCCCAAAATGTCTGAAAACTCAGGGGGGAGAGAAACTATTAAAAATCTGAGGCATTGACATAGAGAAATCTATCATTTTTATATATATTGAAAAATAATATTTATATTTAAAAGCAATTAAAAATTATCAATTATACTGTATAATGGATTTTATAATATTAAAAAATTCTAAGTAGAGATATGTAGGATTTTAAAATACAAAAATAATTTGTGTATGTTAAACAGAGAGATTATATATAAAACAGTAAAAAGACATCTAAGTCTAAATAGATGCAAGTGTAACTAGGAAAACAGTAGGGTGTTACAAGCCTGTGGAAATGAAAAGATTGTTTTCAAGAAATACAATCACCTCTTGGAATGCAGATGAAGTGATCAAAAGATAATGTAATAACAGATTTTAATGTCCAAGTGGACTTACATCTGACTGACTCTTACACAAACAGTGCTCTCAAGATGCGGTGAACAGCTTTCATGTATTTCTGCTTCTGTCTGCTATTTCTGTAGCTATCCTATCTCTCAGGGTGAGAGCAGGTTTGTAAAAAAAAAAAAATGTAATATCAAAGAACATCTGAAACCACTTAGTTGCTTTAAGTCTACCTGTCTAGACTCCCTAGTCCTATTAATTGCTCTCAGTAAATATTTGGCCATACAGCTCTGTGATGTAACCTGTGAAACTCTCTAATCCTATCATCAAGGAAGAGGATCATCTCTGGGGACCTGTATATTGTACTGCTCTATTTTCTTGGCTGCTGTTATATTGTATTTCTATAATCAATAAACAAATCAGACTAATGCTTACCTGTATTGCTTCATAAACTGTCTTTTGATGGATCTCCTGGGGGGCAGCATTAGCGGACCTGAGCCCCGGAGCAGACTCACTCCCTTCTAGGATTTGTTCTGTGCGTGACTGAATAAACACTTGCTGGCTGCTGGCTGCCTTTTGTGCTTCCTTTGCCCCAGGTGAGGGGCTGGGAGGGGTGATGATGCTCTGTGGGGGTGGGTGATGGCCTCCAGCTGTGGGCTGGGGCTGGAGGGGTCCCAGGTGTGGGCAGTGAGGCTGATGGCAGCAGCCCCTCCCTGTAAAGGGGTTGCTCCGGGTGGAGGGGTGGGTGCTGCTGTTAAGAGCAAGGCAGCCATTGGAGGGGTTGGTGGTGTTGTTTGAATGGAGACAAGCAAACACCACTGGGTGTGCAGGGAGTCCACTCCACCAAGACACACAACCACATAACAAAACCGAGTCTTTTTTAGTGTAGTCCTTTTACATATGAGGATGGGCATGAGTAAAATTTCCCGGGCTTTCCTCAGGTTTCCATCATGGAGGGGAGAATGACTCAGCATAGGGAATGACTCAGCACAGGTGTTTTAGGGTTAAGGTTAGGTTGAGGGTTTGGGTTATGGCACTGTTAGGGTTAGGGCACCATTAGGGTTAGGTTTAGCTTTAGGGCCCCAATAGGATTAGGATTAGAGTGCCATTAGGGTTAGGCTTAGGGTGCGTTTAGGGTTAGCGTTTGAAAAAGGCTGGGAAGCCAAAAAGGGATGAGAGGCCGTAGTGGAATTAGAGATGGTGAAATCACTAGAAAAGGAAGGGGGAGACCTACAGGCACATGTTGGAAGAAAAAGAGGATCAGCGAGCAAGACAGAGGAAGAGAGATGATGAGTGGAGACTACAAAGACAGAGAGACATCTGCTGTGGGGGGAAAGGAAGGTGGGAAGGAGGGAGAGCAAGAGACGGTCAAGAAGAGAGAGGGACTGAAGGGATGAGAGAGCAACAGATTGAGAAAGGGAGAGGGATCGGGACGGGCTACAAGCTGAAAGGGAAAAGGCCACGGAGCAGAAGAGAATGGCACGGGAGCTGGGCACAAGTTTTTACCGGCAAAGAACACCACAGAGAGGGGTATGTATGTCTAGAGGCAAAATGTTTGGGAGAGGATGGAGGACTGAGAGAAGAAGAGAAAAGGGACAGGCAGTGAGGCAGTGATAGAGAAAGAAACAGTAGCAACTGAGAGATGAGAAGAGGGACAGGTCCGAGGCAGAGAGGTGGAGAAAGAGCATCAAGCCAGGGATGGGAACAGGCCAGAGGGATCAGGAAAGAGGGGAGCAGGCACTGAGGCATCTAGAATACAGGTGAGCAACAGGGAGCCAGAGAGCAGGACACAGCTGTGGAAGAAGGAGAGACAGGGAGTAGGATGCTGGCCTGGAACCAAAAGGAGCAACAGACAGCAGTACAGAGAGTTGCAGCCTGAGAAAGGACAGGAAGAGTGAACAAGAGAGAGATTAAGCCATCAGTAGATTCAAATTCTTCCATCGATTCAATTCTTCAAAGAGAACTTCAAAGCATGACTCAAGGGAGTGCGTAAAAGCTGCAAGACCTAAAAGAGAGGCTGGAAGGGAAATAAAGGCCAGAAAAATGTGGTATCCAAAAAGGGGTGGGATACTGAAAAAAGTTGGGAAGCTGAAACGGTGTGGGACGCCAAGGGGACGTAGAGACCAGAAAAATGTCGAGGCTGCAAGCGGGAGGCAGGCAGGCAGGCTGCAAGAGAGAGGCAGGCAGGGGTGTCTGCAAGAGGGAGGGTGAGATTCAGGCAGGCTGCAAGAGGGAGGGATTGAGGTAGGCAGACAGGTTGCAAGAGGGAGGGAGGCAGGCAGGCGTCACTCTCTGACCTGACGGTATCCTCCTGCTCTTGCAGCAGTTGGTCGTGGAGAAGAAGGGAGAGACCTCCACCGCGTGCAGAAGGACCTGCGAGGCAAGAGCGAGCGGGAGGAGTAGCGGCAGCGGTCTGCCAAAGAGGCGAAAGAAAGCCCTCCTGGGCAAGGGATCTCCCTGTCACCTGGGCTGTGGTCGCCTCAAGCATCCCTGCCCCTTTGGGGATGTTTTCTTTGCCTCATGAGCAGGTACTCGGGTCTTGGTAGTTCCCCAGAGCTTTAGAATCTGCTGTTATATTCCTTTTCCAGTTCTTGTTTCAGATTGCCTTTGGGGTCTCTTTATGCCCACAGCTTTGTCTGGACTGTTCCCTGACATTCTCATCCTCTCCGAGCTTTCGGCACGCCCCCTACGCTTCAACGTTTTGCTTTACGGGCGGGTCCGGTTTCTCCCGTTCACACTCGGTGCCTGCGAGTACGAGCCCCGCGGAGTGAGGAAGTGAAGGCTGCGGGCGGGCGGACGCCACGCCGAGGAGGGCGAGGGGGCGGGGCCAGGGCGGGAACGGCGCGCGCCGACGCGAGGGGCGGAGCTTTCGCCTGAGGG